TGATCCTTTTGGAACGCTCTGATCCTGAAGTCCCTTTTTGAAGGTTGGTGTGACTTGTCCTTCCGTTACAGTTACCGTACAAGATGACTCAACAGTTTCGGTTTCCGTGGATAGCACCACACGATATGGACCTTCATCTGATTTTTCCGCTTTTTCAACCTCCAGACTGTATTCTTGAGCAACCTGTTCAATTTTGATTCGCCTGAAATCCGAGTTTTAAAGTAATATTTTGAAAATTTGTTGAGCTCATGACAGAAAGCATAACCTACTAGGACGTAGCGACGGTTCGCTTCGTTCAGTCTGGTGCTGAGGTAAATTAGTGGAAGAGGCGGCGAAATGCACATCCAGTTAAGAGCGAAGTTTAAACTCCGCTACGATCGTTTAAAAAATCGGTAGCAACTAAAACCTCTCCCAGAGGTCATCTGATTTGAGAGATGCTTCTTTTTGCAAACAGAAACAGTCACTAACAAATTCCGCAATTACAGTTGTTTCCACTTCCCATGTTTGCTTAGAAACAACTCGAAGGGAACAAAAAATAGCAGATTTTCTGAAAATAACAACAATCACCTGTTGGATTTAATTTCGTCTTTTCCACGGAACCATTTTACAACTTTTGGTTGTCCTTCTACCTCAACGTATAGGCTAAGCTTCGTTCCAACTTGTACCGTTTTATCTTCCAGGCCCTTCTTCAGTTTTAATACTTCTAGGGCTGAAAAAAATCCGAATAATTTGCATCATTGTATATTTGTAACTGAGAATTCGAGTATGTATATGCATATATTTTTCAACAATGGTAACTGAAGAAATGAAAGGGTTTTTATAATTTATGACTCTCATTACTTGTAAAAAGCATAATCTAGGTAATCATATTTTTCTAAAAATTTGAATACCGAGTTGATTTTTCCAATCACGCAAATTTAACTTGAAAAAATCAAGCACTAATACCATTAACAGTCAGCGGAGCTTTGGAGCTCATCGAACCAGCGTTGTTGGTTGCTTCGCATCGGTAGTTGCCCTGATCCTCGACACTGACCGAGTCAACAGTCAAACGATTGGTACCATCGGGGAAACTTTCTACACGAACATGCTCACTTGGCACTACCTCTTCACCATCCCTGAACCATTTCACCTTTGGCACGGGAACACCGGCTACTCTGAAAATTAGAAAAATTAAAATTAACAAATCGCTTCATGATTTAAAGATTTTCCTCAAAAAATTGTGTCATTTTTAACAATTATCACGCTCTGCGAATGAAACTCAACAAAAAAAATTCATTTTTCAGAGTGATTAGTTTTTCACTTTTCGAAATTTTCAAAGCTTCTTTTCTGAAAAATTCGAGAAATTTTTCGGAATTTTCAGGACTTACATGCCAAAAATCTCAAAAAATCACTGAAGAGATTCTAGTTCGCTACAAGGAAGTACGATTTTTACTTTTTACTTTATTTTTACTTTTTCACCTAATATGACTGAATACTGTTAATTTGGTAGTAAGGTATCTTTTAGATTTGAATAAAATTGATAAGGTATGTGAAGCTCTAGGACTTTCCAAGCTGTTCATACTTAAACGCGTAAATCGGACAATAAAAGCAGAATTCTGAATTTGTACCTGCACTCAAATGCAATCTGTTGCCCTTCAGTTGCCTGAACTGGCTGTAACTCTTGGACAAACTCTGGTGAAATTTCGCTCTCTACCGGTGCTTCAAATGCATACAGAACATTTAGCTGTGCTTCAGCTCGCGCCGTTCCCGAAGAATTTTGCGCCTCACATCGGAATTCACCAGCATCAGCCTAAAAGTAATTTGTTGATTTTTGTCCTTTACTATTCCCAAAAATCCACACAGTCCTGGGGTACTTTTTCGGTTCTGGGAAAGCTGATTTTAGCTTTTTTTGTCTATAAAAGCCAGTATCTTCTGCGGCCATTCAATGACAGATTTGTACTATTGTTTATCAGGAAGCCAGCACCACTGTCAGTTAGCTTCTCAACAACGAACAGAGGAGGGAATTATTAACAGCCTTGCTAGCGAGTGACTGATTCTGACCACGTCACTTTTGAGTACTTCCAGTCCCATACAAGCCGAATATACAAGAGTTATTCTTTTTGTCTCTCACTAAAATGAATTACCTTTGTAGCAGAGTCAATGGTCAACCGTGCGATACCATCCGGAAGTGTTTCCTTCTTGAAATGAGCATCATCCGCTTTGATTTCTTGCTTATCCTACAAACAGAATCTGCTACTATTCGATTACTTTCTTCTTTACCAGTATCATTATCATCATGATCATTATCATTATCTTATTATTACCAGTACTTATTTATTCATCTCTTTATTATTCTTTTTTGCTGCACTTAGACGCAATTCAATTTCAGCGAGGGAAAGCAAAAAAATCTCTAAATGTTGATCAAATCAGTGAAAAAACAAAGACGCTACCTTAAACCACTTAACTTCAGGCATTGGTTCACCAACAATTTTGCACTCCAGTACAACTTGCTCCGATTCGTTGACGCTCGTGTCTTGGAGCGTTTTGAGGAATGTTGGAGCTGCAAGCTCGATAGCACCTTCCTCCTCTACCGTGACTGGTACTAAAAATAGAATTCATGAATGATTTATGTGACTGTATAAGTAGCACAGTTGCAAGAATCGTTTTTATCGCAGTTAAAGTCTGTTCGGTTCTATACAAAAAACATATCCCTTTACGATTTATTCATTCGTTTCGACGGCAAACTGGTACTGGCGAATGCCAGGTTGTTTGTACCTTCGGAAAAAGAAGGTATTCGCAGCGTTGCCAGCAAGTGGTTGTCTTTGGCTTGTGTTACCACACGGATTACCTCCCAATTATCTCCGCTTTTAGAAAGCGCGAATATGGGAGGAATATTGTCGTTTTAAAACGTTGAAAAGTACCTTGCACTTTAAGGGTAGCATCGCTCCACACATCACCAAATTCATTACTTGCCACACATCTGTATTCATCTGTATCTTCAATCGTTGCATTCTTGAAAATAAGCTTTTGGGTACCATCAGGCAAGCTTTCCATTGTGATCCGTGCATTTTCCTTGACCATATTCTCACCACAGTACCACCTGATCTCCGGCTTTGGTTCACCGACAACTTTGCCTTCGAGAACTGCTGTTTCACCAACAGTGACCTGAAAAGTTAAGTCATAAACTGTTAAATCCGAAAAACTGTAAAATGACAGAAATTGGAGCCCACTTATTGATGTGGTCTTTTAAAATATTAGGAGCTTCAAAATAACGGGGAAAATTTGTCCAGCAGCCCGCCAGATAAAACATATGGATTAACTATACCTGAAACATCAAAAGTTAAAAAAAAGGCAAGCAGATGAAGGAGGATGCCAAAATCATTCGTGCAGAAACTTGAAAGAAAAATGTCAAAAAACTAGACGGGGCGGGAAGAGGGGGAAGGTGGAAGGGAGGTAAAGCAGGCCAAAAACAACGCTAAAACAGCTTGGAAAGACTAAAGTGAAGTGAAGAGTCAAAATTGCTTTAAGAATTTTGATTAAAACGAACAAGTGTGCGGTTTTCGACAAAGCCACTAAATTTTGCTTAGAAACATGACAGCCATTTCGACTGAAGAATTTTAACCTCAGTTTTGAGGCTCGCCCTCTATCTTTGAAACAAGCCACGCCCCTATACTGGGCTGTTATACGATTACAAATATGATATCCATAGGAGAAAACTTACAGTAACTGGTCTGACGGGTTCAGTGAAATCAGGTGCTTCGCCACCTGCTGGTAATTCCTCCTCAGTAGCGACTTTGAGAGGCGCAGTTGTCCAAGCTGCACCATGGTCATTCGAAGCATCGCATCGGTATTCACCACTATCCTCTTTTCGGGCATCTTTGACTGTCAGCACAATGGTACCATCATCGCAAAATTCCATTTTCATACGGTCAGTTTGCTCCAGCTAAAAAAAGAGCTCGAGCACTACATGTGATTTTAGAATATAGTGCTTTTCTAATACAAATTGTAGGACTTAATACGCTGGATCTTTAATTATCTTTCATTCCTTTTTCTGACTCCGTCCCTTTATTTCACTTCAGACTTAGATCCTTGAAACTTTCAGTCATTTATTTCATACCATGACTATAATTTTTCTTAATATTCAATATGTGGACTTAAATTTTTTTCACTTGGTATACAGCAGAATGCGAAGATCGTCTTGGGTATCAGTATGGGTATATTACATAAGTGATGTTACTGGGATGTTCTTATATACCAGACTTGGTTATTTCAAGTCTTCGTTTCTCAGCTGCATATTCATCACCTGTTCGATATAGGTACGTCACCCCTTTAAAGGCAAATGGCTACTTATTTTCTTGCGGTAACCACTCCTTGCTTGTCAGCAAGGTGAATGGCATATCCTGCGTCAAGAACAATTATCGTTAATTAATTCCAGGACACTTCGTTTTCGTTTTTATTCAGATGATGAAATGCCTCTGTCAAGGGATCAACTTGTAAATAGCAACCTGTACTTGTAAACAGCTGTCAGAAGCGGGAACTCTCTCTGAAAAGCCTTGCCAATGAGTGGCTGCTATTGATATATGCTACCACACAAATTACTTCCAGACACCTCCGTTTTTTACAAGAAATAAACTCGAAGGGAGATTAGAATTTTGATTTAATGTGCCCAGTGGTCAGATCATAATCCCATAAAACTCTAGCAGAAGAAAAGCTACCTCGACGCCATCTTTGCTCCAGGATATTTTTGGCCTTGGCAAACCTCGCACTTTACATCGCAAGACAGCTTCAGCTGTTTCGGTTACAGTACAGGATTTCAGAAGTTCGATGAATTCGGGCGGTCCTTCACCCTCGATAATTTCTTTTGCTTTACCTGAAATGAAAGCAAGCGCTGAAAAATTGTGCCATTCTGTGATGCAAAGCAACAAACCAGCACCAGCTCAAACCTGAAAAACAGCAAGAAAGCTAAGTTAAAGCAAAGCTAGTTACTTGTTCGGGGAAACTGTTTGGGGAACTTGTAAAAAGGGAATTCAGAACATTAGAGCTTCAGGGTTACTGTAAAGCAATGAGAATTTGCGAAACACGGGAATATGGCATCTTGCAGGTTTGAAAGCATCCGAAGCGCTGATTTTTCCTATAGAATTCTTAAAAAATGCAGAATCTCTGAGAATTAAAACCAGTTATTCGAAAGTGAGGTTTCAGGGCGATAAATGCTAAAAGCCACACATCGAAAAATTCATGAAAACAACTGAACTGAATCCAAAAAGAATTTCGACGACCACCTGAGGAGCAGAGGTTGTCCAGCTGAAAGCGGTTATTAATATAAATCCAAAATATAATCCTATTTTAGCAGCCCTGAAAGCTTTCACAAATGGAGAGGAAGCCAAAGCCATGCTTAAGGTGAGGCACATGCATGAAGATACCAGTGGACATGCGTTATTATTAAGCCTGAAATGCGCATAAGTGTGGCATGCTTTAAAACAAGAGTTACCAGAAGAATCCTTCCGGAATCATTGCTATGGCTTTACTGAAGCTCAGTACATCAGCTTGTTTATAGAAATGTTCTGGGATTTTGAAAAACTCCAAAAATTAAAAAAACTTAAAAGGCCTGTTTCCAAAATGCGGTTTGCTCTCTAAAACGAAAAAAAAGTTTTGAGCTTTGTTTTCAATACATTTTAAAACCTAAGAGAAATTTAATTATTCACGACTTTTACAGTTTCCTTGCAACATTTCTGAATTTCAAAACTTTCATTGAAACTTGATTTAAAAAGTCTATTAAAACTGCTATGGAAAGTAAGAATTCTAATGCAGCTAATTTTCTCAAAAATTTGAAACAGCTCTCCAGTGACCTCAAAATTTCAAAAATTTTTTAATGAACTTTGAAATTCTGAATAATTTTAGATTTTTGCAACAATCTGAAAAGCTAAGATAAGTTCAAAAATAAAATTGTAAAGATTTTCAAAATCCAAAACTTTTTCTTTCAAATTTCACAAAATTCCAGACTGTCAAAACTCAAATTCCTTATTTTAAGGGATCCGTGCTTCTGCTGTAACATAGCAATGACGTACGGAAGATTTTTTGGCAACTAATTTTGTGTGCCATTCACAAGCTGCGAAGGTTCTTGTTTGTGGGATGCCAACCTGAAACAGTAAGTTTTCCTTCGGTCCACGCAAATGCATCACCGATCGAAGCTGAACATCTGTATGTTCCAACATCCTCGGCCGTTACTTTATCAATTTTCAGTTTAATTGTACCATCTTCCAGGCGTTCCATGATCGCCTGCTGTGGCAACAATTCGGCACCATCTTTGTACCAGTGTATCTGGATATCGCCTCTTGCAGTGCTTATGGCACACAGCAGCTCTGCTGTGGTACCTTCTTGGGCAGCAACATCTGTTAGCGGTTCGATAAATCCTAACAAAGCGGACTCGTCTTCAACAACTTCTTCAGCACCAGTTGCAAAATTCAGTTTTGCTGCAGTAGCTGCTTTTCCGGACATATTGATCGCCTCACATCGATATGTTCCAACGTCCTCTTTGCTAGCGTTTTGGATTGTCAGCTTCAGAGTACCGCTCTCGAGTTTTTCAACTAAAAGATGTTCACTTGGTTGGATTGGTTTATCATCCAGGTACCACTGAATCTCCGGTTTTGATTCCTCATTCACTCGGCATTCGAGAACAACCGTCTCACCTTCCTGAACACTGTGTGTTTCGAGCGGTTCAATAAAGAACGGCTTAGTCACTTCTTCCGGCACTTTTTCAGAGCTATATTTCGGGAAATTTAGCTGACCTACTGTTTCAGCGGTACCAGCCTGGTTGGTTGCCACACACGTATAGGTACCAAAATCTGTCTTATTAACTTCATTGATTATCAACGTTTGCCGGCCCGTTTCATCACTTTTCTGGAATATTTGTGTGTTGTCAATATGTACCTCAACACCATCCTTCATCCATTTCACTTGCGGTTCCGGTTTGCCGACTACGATACATGACAATTCTGCCTTCTCATGTTCTGGCACTTCTAATTCACCAATTTTTTCAGTGAACGACGGTGGCACCAATTCTGATAGCACAGCAAATTTGGCCTGAGTTTCAGCGGTTCCAAACTGATTGCTCGCTTTACATGAGTAGGTGCCAATATCTTCAAAGCCTGCATCTTTTAATATTAGTGTATAATGTCCTTTTTCGTCTTTCCTCGACAAAACGTGCTCATTATCGATGTTCACTGGAACACCGTCTTTAAACCAAGCAACCTCAGGTTCTGGTTTTCCTACCACAGTTACCGAAAGTTGTGCGGTTTCAGCTTCCTGAACTGATAATTCCTGTAGGCCTTCCAAGAATTTTGGCATCTCCGTAGCGCATTCAACAGCGAACTTAGCTTCACTTTCAGCGGTTCCAGCCAGGTTCGTGGCTTTGCA